TAAAGCACAGAGGATATGATGTTAAGTATATTTATGTATTATATAAAGTACCTATATTTGTATTAAAAATTTAAGAGGTTATGTTGAAAAATGATCGATATACTATTAAACTTTAATAATTTAGTAATAAGGTCTGTTGGTAGACCCTGCACTATCTCCACTGGTATAGTTTTGTAATATTTAAATCTGGTTGATGAAAAAGTACACACCAGTGCAGGTTATTGTAGCATCTCCGAACAAATGAATTAATGGCCCATTGGCAATTATTCCTTTAGGAAAAATATTCAACACAGCTTAATTAATTAATAAAATGAAAAAAATCACAATCATGTCGTATATACAGGGCCGGCGTGAGGCATGTGCACACGGTGCGGTGCACCCGGCCCCGCGTTTTATAGGCCCCGCGCGCATCAAGGCGTCTCGACGAAATTATTGTACATTTTGGCAACCGGTAAGCGCCGCGCGACAACATATTATGTTGAACATAATATGTGGTCGATGCCAGAGATAATATCTTTTGTAGAAGAGTCAAAAAATCTTTTGACTATGAAGGTACAGATGAAACGTTCGAGGACAAAGAAGAACATTTTCGTGTTGAATTCTTCCTATTAGTCCTTGATAGAGCAATAGAAAAGATTTAAATTATATGAGGGTATTAGGAAAAAGTTTGGATTTATGTATGAATTTACAAAAATCAAAGATCTTCCCGATGAAGAATTGCAAAATAACTGCAAAAACCTACATTCTGTTTTATCCGCGGAAAATGCCGATTCCGATATTGATTACTTAGAATTGTTTAAAGAACTAACATCTTTAATTCCAATAATTCCTGAAATCAACCAAAGTTCGCTCTTAAACATACTAAAATACCTTTAAACTACAAAGCTGTTTTTGGCCTATCCAAATATCTGCGTCGCAATTCGAATTTTACTTACCTTGCCCGTCACGGTTGCCTCTGCGGAAAGAAGTTTTTCAAAATTAAAATTAATAAAAAATTGATTAAGATCAAGTATGTGCCAAGAACGACTAGTGGGTTTGGTTATATTGTCAATAGAGAAGGATGTTGGAAGAGAACTGGATATGACTTCAAAAACCATTGACGCCTTTGCTTCCGCCAAAGCACGGAAAACATATGTGTGATTTTTTCTTAAACGTTAATTTCCATATAAATTGAAGGGGTCAGAGCTGAAACCACCCAAATGCATTTTAAGCCAAAATTTTCTACTATCCGCTAACATTAGGGTGAGCCAAAAAAACTAACCTCCCTGCCGAAAATGCCCCTTTAAGAACAATAGAAACCAATGGGAATTTATGTTGTAATGTATTGGGTCCTATAGGTTTGAATCTGGTGAATTGGTATCAATTGGAAAACATAATTGTCTTGAATTGGTTTGATTGGGTATTTCCCATTTAGCCCTAAAACCATTTGGCGACATATAGAACCCAATAAAAACCAGTACCAATACACATATTCAGTCCGGTACAAACCATTTCATTCTCTTATTGGTTTCTATGGGTCATTTTCGGCAGGGCTATCGGATTTATGGGTTAAAATGAACCTACATACCGAGCCAAAAATTTACTTGCAAGGCAAAATTTTTTGCTCAATTTAAAACTGCAGTTTTAGTGATTTTTTACACTTTTCAAAGCTTTCAAACATACGAATTTTTGAATTAAAAAAAATAATCCTGGTATAGATTCTTTGGGAAATTTTATGCTCTACAAGAATCCGCGACGTAAAAACTTTTATCTCAAACGGTTCAAAAGTTATAGTCTTTTTAATGAAAAAAGATTTTTTTACGTGTTATTTCAATGGAAAACTTAAAATGATCACCGACACCTTTTAAAATAGAGCAAAAAATTTTGCCTTGCAGGTAAATTTTTTGCTCGGTATGTAGGTTCATTTTAACCCATAAATCCGATAGGTTAGTTTTTTTGGCTCACCCTAGCTAACATGCTTAAGAAATTTTGACTTAAAAATGCACTTGGGCGGTTTCAGCTCTAACCCCTTCAATTGGTTTATCGTTTGATGATTTATTAGTTTATTGCCGCTAGGCGCTATGTTAATTTTCAAGAGTAAATTTTTATTTTAAGTTCAAGCCCCGCATTTTTCTTTTGCACCTGGCCTCTAATAAGCTAACGCCGGCCCTGCGTATATAGTTTTTTTTTAAGCATAAAATAATTTTTATATTAATACTAGTTCAAAAGTGAAATTACGACCTCTATACTGTGGAGAGTATTGAAACGCTCGACTGACGAATACCACTCTATACCGTAGGGAGATTTAGAAATCGATATTCAAACGTGGCGTCATCCTATACACCTCTATAATTTTCCGTTTGCTGTGAGAGCTTATTAAAATAATGCTGTCTGGGTTAGTAATATATACATAAGGCCATATACATAAGGCCACAATCCACCATGTGGATTGTGCATAAGGCATACGTTTATTATAAACACAACTCATCGTTACGTACAAATTATGGTGATATTATGTTTACGTTTTACGGTCATCTTATGGTTACGTTCATTATGAATGAGCACTAAGTGCTCATTCATAATGAACGTAACCATAAGATGACCGTAGAATTGTAAAAGTGGCAATTCTGGGATGTTATCTGTAAATGTCTAATTTAAAGTAGTATAAACGAACTTCTGGAACTTCACGCCTATTTACCTACGATACATATTTAGTTATTTTCAACTTCTTAAATTTATCTAAATTAAAGTTGTGATTTCTTATAGTTTCCTTCCCAAGGAGTATGCTAGGCCCTATGTTTTTTTAATACCTGTCTATATTTTATACATAAATTCAAATTAATCACGGTTGCGAATGATTAACAAAAAAGAACTAGCCGAGATAACCACATGGTATACTAGCCTGAAAAAGTTCAAAATCCACTTGTTGCTGGTCAAAATGGTACATTGATTCCTAGACCATTAAGGCGTTGAGCCACCAAGAAAGAAGAAGATCCACAGTTTATCGGTTTTCATTTATGTATCAGCATATATATAATACAAAAAGTAAGACATTTAAACTGGTTGAGGAATAAAATGAGGTAAGATAATTTTACATTTAAAAGAACATACCTACATACATACATGAATAAAAATGTTAGTGCGTTGAGTGAAGAAGTCAATCAATGGTTAGTGGTAACGCAAAAGCAACAAAGAGAAAAAGATAAAAAACACCACTCCTCAACAGTTGAACTATATTTGGTTGCATTGGATGGAGATTATGCATTGGGCCAAACATCGCAGGAACTTAATAAATTTGAACAAGGAGCAGAAAATCAAAAAAAACATTTTTGAGCTTATTAAAAACTATTTAGAAAATTATATAAAGCTGAAAGAAGAACAATTGGAATTTGAAATAAAAAAAATTAAATTTTTTAATCCAAATTTTGATATTTGACCTATTAATTTTTGACTAATTAGAATATTTATTTATTTTGTTGTTTATTTCTTTTTTGACTGAGTAGGCTGTGGTTTATTTTTTTTAAGAATATTATTTTCATATGTAAAATAAAAATATAAAGTTTTTGTATTAATACAATAATTGTTTTATTTATAGTCAAAATTGAAATTATTTCTAATGTAGTTGGCCCAGGCTGCTTGTCCCAATTGATAAATATTACCATTATCATATCCACATTGACATTATTAAAACTATTCATGTTTTTAATCTTTAAAATAGCTTGACATAACCTAACAAAAACAAACTGTAACTAGCAACGATTGGGAAACACCCGATCGTAAATATTTATTTACGATTCTATAATATTTTCTGTAAGCTACAGGAAGCGCAGAATGCAAATTGTCTATAAGCTTATAGAAAGTTACAGATTTGCTTATAGATGTGCGCAGAATTGACCTATAAATTTATCGTTATTATTTCGACTATTTAGAGGTAATAAACAATATATTCACTATTAATAAAAAGTATTAGCTACACAGTTTATTTGTCCCATTTTTTCTCTTTGCTTATAGATGTGCGCAGAATTGACCTATAAATTTATCGTTTCTCGGTGTAGCATCATAGAAATAACACACTGTTATTTCTTTGTACGCTAACTGGGTTGCCTAACTTAGTAATATATATATTACTATATATATAAAGTGACATGAAAAAAGGATTTTTTAAAATTAGTACATAGAAAAAAAATAACAACACTTAATATTATGTAAACTTATAGGGGGAAATTAAAATTTTGTGACCTGTAAAATTTTGAATACTCCAATAGTTTTTACGTCTATAGGTAGGTATAATATAGTTTTCCGGAACTGAATAATTTACCATTTTTTAAATACTTTTTATATAATGTATTTAAAAAATACCTAAATACCTAAAATAGGTATGTAAGTGAATTTAATGGATGAGTGTAGTAGGATAATAATTTCTCATTTCCCATTTAAAATAAAAGGCGGGTTGTAGTAACGCATGCGCTTTAAATAAGTCAATATAGAGTCTGTAAATGCCTTTTTTAATTTTTTTGGGTACCTACAAATTTAAAATTAAACTTAAAAATATTTAAAAATATTATTGCAATATTATTTAAATTATTTAATAAAATTACATCACAATTAATATACAAACAACGCAATGGAATTTATAAACATAAGTGACCTACTTTTATATTTCGTGAAAGTAGTTAAAAAAACAAATGTTAAATAAAAAAAACAATTTTTAAATGTATTTCGTATTATAACAAAATTGTTTTTGTACATATATCCACAATCCATTGTACATATATCTTTCTTTGAAATTATTTATGAACACAGTATCTCATTTGATATCGCAGTTATGTCTGTCTGAAATGTAAAGTGTAAGCGAAGTGGCCTAGAGACCTACATTTATAACAACGTTCGATTTTTATATAACTATAAGAAATAGATATTTGTGAAACCTTGGCGCTAAATTGAAGGTCAGAGCTTTGAAAAGCTCTGAGGCGTGGTAAATTCGGTTATCATTGCAAAATAAGTGAGTAATCTAATAAACAATGCACGAAGAAGCGACAAGTATGAGCGTTCCATGCCCTGTTGCCGTGCCTACATCTCACAATGAAAACGATACAATTTCAGTTTCTGTGATTAATGCCGGTGACATGGAATTAGAAGTTAACACGGACAATGAATTGCAAGTGCCTTTTTCTACAAATTCAGAAGGTAATTGTCCAAAGCATGCTATTTCATGATTTGCAGGTTAAATGTATATTTCTCATGCTTTAAGAAACAAACTTGTTTTCGATATCGGCGTAAACTTACTTTTGTTTATAACAATTTCCATTCCATTTGTGGGAAAGTAATATTGAAAGTGAATTAATTTATGTTGCTTTCCAGCACTTGTTTATTATGAACTGGCAACCTAGCATAGGGGCTACAGAATTGTCCTAGGTTACGCCCGATATTTATTGTAGGTCCGGAAATTAATTTTATTAAATAAAATTTATTTATTAATTAACAATATTATTTTAATTCTACAGTTTTCCTATTCAGAAGTTTTTACATTCACATTTTATTCATAGACAAACAGTTCTATTATAGGTCAGGTTCAAGTGCAGGTGGAAGTGCCTTTTAATATCGAACTACACGCGCCTGCGCTACCTATTTCCTTTAAATTTTATTGAATCTTATGAATTATAAGTTATGATTATTTTATTTTATAAACACGGATTAACAATTTTATCAATAGGTAATACCTATTTTATTAATAACGAGCCTATAAACAAATTTACAATATTATTCAAAAAAATCTAAAACCTGAAAGTAGTACAAGTAGTAAAATTACTTCTTGCATTGTTTTAAAATATAAATATTATTTTGCAATTAATGAAAATTAAAAAAATTATGGCCTTATTTTAATATCACATTCTATAATTATTCTATAATTAAGTAAGTATCTTTTTTATTTAAGAATACCACTGATTAATTTTTAAAAGAACATATTATTTGGTTAAAGAAATCATTTTTTTAATTAAGATTATATTTTTTTATTTCAATATCTTCGGATTTTGTTTTGGAAGAAAATTCTTTTTTTTTTGAATTAAGTAGGTAAATATTTTTTTTATTTAAAAATATTGCTGCCTTATTTCAAAAATTATATATTCTTGCTTTTAAACAATCAAAGTTTTATTTAAAAAAAAATAATTTTCTTACATTAAGAAAAGATTCTTGAAGTAAATCAACGTGAATTAAGAAAATACTTTTACTAAAGATTATATTCTCTTCGTTATATATGAGACAAAGATTGTTTTGAATCAAATAAATTTGATACAAGAATATTTTTTTTTGTGTGGGTAAAATATTAATGCGGGTAAAAGCAGATATTTTGCAAAGTACATTTTAACAATTTACCACCAAACTGCCGTGCTAAGCACAGAGGTTGTAATTGCTATTTTTCTCAAAAATGAGTTTTTTCTCATTTTATATTTCTTATGCCTAGACCATATTAAAATATGAAATTTTAGCTAAAAACTAATCCAAAAAAATTATTCTGATAATTTAAAGTGGTGTTTTTATCGTTACAGGGTGATTTACCTAACTTATTTATTAGAAGTTTATGGAGAACGGAAAAAGGTATCGATTTGAAATTTGTATAGCAATTATAAGGCAATTTTTTATAATTATTTTCCATGCGTTATCACTTAGGTTTTTCAAATGGAACCATATAAATATTATTTCATTTTTAAATTTTACGTAAAATAATAAAATTTGAATAAGATTTTTTTTTATTTTAACATTTTTTGAGGTATTTAATTTTTTTCAATTTTTTTTACAGATTGATGGTCTTACTTATATGTCTGTATAACCACTAAATGTAATATTAAAAAGTTAATTTATGGTATACCTGTTAACTAAGGAGCACTTTATCAAAAGCCATTCATAGCATTTGAGAATTTTATGCAGGGTGTCTGGTATTTACGTTAACTTTTTTGCAGATATATAGAGGGGAAAGAATGAGTTTTAACGTGCGCGAATGGGGACACACTCATAGCCGCCATTTTGAACCACTTATACGAGGCGCGGTCAAAAATGTTGGTGTTTCTGCACGTTTTAACAGCACAAGACATTTTATATCACAGAAGTTCTAACAATATTAAAACAGAATCATATTACAAGTATACAAAAATTCAACTATAGTTGAATTTTTGTATACCTACTTGTAATATGGTTGTGTTATAAACCAAAGATATCGGTGTAGAAAACAGATAGAAGTTATTATTCGCAGATAAAAAATCAGGTGGTTGTTTCTAGACCATTGAACCTCTAAAAACAAAGTGGTTATGTCAAGGGTTATGTACTAACAGTGTTGTCATGAAAGTTCACGATTAAAAATTACAAAATACCTGATTTTACTCGCTAGAGTAAAAAAAATAGTTATATTTTAAATTTTCTAGCCCAATTTTGACAAATGAATTTATTTTTGTATTAATTAAGAAGAATGGTAACTAGTGATGCCGCGAGACGAGACGAGGCGATAAAAGTCCTTCTCTTGTCTCGTCTCGTGCAGCTAGAGAAAATGGGTCTCTCGTTTTGTCGAGAATACTCTTTTCTCGCTCGAGAGTGCCTTTCTCTCGTGGTAAAAGTAGCTATTTATGAATACAAAAATTATTTGGAATGAAATACGAATTCGTTTATATTTTTTTCTATAGAAATTTTAACTGATAATAAAAAAATGTGTACCAAGACCACACTAATAAAGTAAGACTTTTTACGCGGAAAATTTCGCGAATTGGAATCAAATGGTTGGATCTATGTGGAGTAGTTCCGTCTAGTATATAGCCCCAGCTGAAGAAATGGATATCAAATTTGTAATCAGCCCCTCAAAAACCACATGTTGTTGATAAGTTTATTGAATAAGCATACGGTAAATAGTATAAGGAGTGCATGCCATAGATATGCTTATACACTCTCTAAAAATTAATTAATCAAAAATAACTAATTTAATAGTTATTAGTGGCTGCTTTTTCACTTGTACCATGGTTAAAAATGGAATACCATGGTATCCCGAAATTTAGCCAATTCCTATGTAAAATTGTCCCCTGAATCCGAAAATACCGTCAAAAGTTAAAAAAGTAGAACAATTTTCCATTTAATATGGAATTGACTATATCTCAAAAACTGCTCCACTTTCCTAGTTTTCCATGGTTAACCATGGTACAAGTGAAAAAGCAGCCACTAATAACTACTAAATTAGTCATTTTTGACTAATTCATTTTTAGAGAGCAGGGTAAATTTTAAAAATTATTATTATTATTTTATAAGTATTTCTTTCTTGGTTAACGTTAAGTTGTGTTATAAAATAACACAACGTTAACCAGAAACAAATTTTATTTGTTATAAAATGCGAATAATGTTCTCATTGGTCCATTTAATTTGGCCAGAACAACGTTTTGACGATCTCTGAATTGGCAAGATTTGAAATTTGGAGGTCGGGAATCTTAAAATCCATTTAATATTTTGAGAAAATCGCAAAAATTTTGAATAATCGATTGAACGAGAGAGATTGAGAGAAACGAGAAATTCTCGAGCGAAAGAGGGCATTCCCTCGACTCGTCTCGAGCCTTTTTTCGAGAGAAAATCGACGAGACGAGAGGCGAGAATCTCTTGTATCGGCGGCATCACTAATGGTAACAGAATAGAATAATAATAATTATATATAATAAGTATATTCAGTAAATATACAATATCATCCACTAAAATTTTTTGAGTTAGTACCTATATTGATCGAAATTTTCAAAATACCCTCTGTTTATTTTGTATTAAGTTTGCCAATAAGAGATAGCGAAGTCTATATTATTGATATCTAATTCAAAATGTCAGCTATGAGCCTGTCGCCATAAAATTGGATGCACAATGGTCCACGCTCCTTCTCCCCCCTCTATATCTCTAATAAAATTCCTATTTCAAACAAAACTACAACACAATTTTTACATCATTCGACACAAAATAATGTTTTCTATTGAAATGCTGAAGCACTTCATATACCTAAAATAAATATTTACAGATATTACAAAAAATGTGAAAAAACCGCAGATTTTTTTATTTTTAATACCAGTAGGTATACTGTTTAACATGTTTAGAATATATTGATTAGTGTAATTATTATCACCCATTTTAACACAATTGTCAGAGACGTTGACATTGACTATTAGTAGTGTGCGTTGGATTGTCTTTTATTTAGTATTTATGAAGTAATGTCAATGTCAACGTCTCTGACAATTGTGTTACAATGGTTGATAATAATTACAATAATCAATATATTCTAAACATGTTTTATACATATGGCGAGTGCGGAAAAGTTTTATAAAGAACAATTGGAACTTTTATTGTGTACTATGATAGTACTATCAGTATCGTGCTTTGGGTTGTTTATATTTTCTATTAAACAACGTTAAAAGAATTATCAGTTTAAAGTTCAAAAATTATATTGAAAAAATAAATAAATGTAACAAATAAAACAAATCTAAAGTAATTGTTCATTGTATCGCCAGTGTTGTTTACGACACATATTGATACGTCGCAAAACACCTTTAGAAGTTGTTCTCAAAATAGTAGTTTCGTATGAAATAAGAAAGTTATTGGTATTTAAAGTGACTAAAAAGTCAACGTAAATACCAGACAACCTTAAAATTTTCAAATACTACTAATGGCTTTCGATATGGTGCTTCTTAGTTAACAGGTACACCAATCTGTCAAAATTTTTGAAAAAAAAAAAAATATAAAAAAAACTGTTAAAAACAGGGACCCGGACCCAAATGTAATAACGGTTCCTGTCCGGTTCCGAGAGAAACGACAAATTTCAGTTCGGGTTCAGTTACGGTTCTAAAAAAAATATTTATGCCCATACGTTTTTTTTTGTTCCAATTTTTTTACTATGTAGGTATAAATAAGTAAAATTATAAAATTAAAAATTTATTTTTTTTGTAAATTTTTCTTGGCATGAAATTAAATTACTTTATCTATTCTTTTTTTCAAATCAGGGTCTTAAATTTTAGGCTCTTCATTCTCTTTTTTTTTACTTTTATTCTCGATCGGCTTGCTAACTTCAACTTTTTCTTCTGATCTTGCGATGGTAAACCTTGAAAATTCATATTTAAAATAAGTTTTTCTCCAAAAATTCTGTTGGTTCTCACAAATAATTGTTCCTCTAAATTTTTTTCTTTTATGTTTGATCTTGTTGGGGGAAGTAAAAATTTGTGACCAGAAGCCTTTTAACGCTATCTTACTTGTCTTGCAGGTGTCATAAGTATACATAATACTAGGCAACGCTGTAATTAATAAATCCCCACTACAAATGCACCTACCACCCTTGCTAGTCAAGATACATACATACACCTACATGCTAATCATTTTAATAAATCAGTCTTCAACCTACTCTTGTATTATTTACTTCATGGCGCAGTCGGTAAGATATTTTGTATCGGGAATGGCCGATCCTGTTGCTGCTATCGGACAAAAGATGTCTCTATCGTTAAGTTCGACCTTTTAGACGGTGTTCTTACTTAAAACGTTTTGACGTTCGGGCGCAATTACTGTCATTAACAGTCACTTGAAAAATTAATGTCGGCCAAAAAATGGAACTGACCCGTGAACATTTTCGTGCGATAATTTTTTACAACTTTAC